TATGTGCTGAACATAGCTGTCTTTATTGTTGTAAAGCTGGTTTAACTTGACTTTTCATTTAAAGAAACTGTCTCTACATGATTTTTTTTTGTTTTGGAGTATTTTTTTAATTGATCCACAGCTGGCAGAGCTAATTGGATGATCAGTTATTAGTGGTAATTTCACATAATTCATGAATAGTTTTGCAAGGTGTTTGAGTAAGATTTTCAGAAGTGAGATTTAGATCACCACTTCAGCATTTTGGTACCCTCTGCCAACCCCTCCCACACATCTATGAGATTATTATGTGAGGGTTGTAACCAGATGATTTCAGGTCCCCTCCAAGCCCATGCTTTATGATTCTGTCATTATTCCTTTGTAAGGTTTTCATTTTTAAAAAGTTTTCCTGTACTGCCTTGACTATTCATTAACAATCAGTTAATATAATACCCTAAAATAACATATGGATACTTAGAGTAAACAACCCTCACTCTTCCGTAAATGGGAATAAATCCAAATAAGGAGAACTGTAAATTAAAAATAGATGATTAGCTTCAATATTTTGAAACTGTGCTCAGTGCTGGATTATTGTGTGTGTGTAGATGCATTTGTTTCCCCTCAGAATTATTCAGAGGTTGCTGTGGTTACAGGTGTACCTGGATCCTTCAGGTCCCACAGCATTCCTCAACTTGCTGTCAGAAAACAGGCCTGGAACATTTCAGCTCTGGAAATGAAAAAAATTAAATGACACAAAGAATTATTTGTTCCACTGTTTTGTGGTGCTTATGGCTTCTTTAATTGAAACAAAGACTTTTAGCAAGTAGAAAAATGGTGACTGGCTTTTTTTTTCCCCCCCTCTCTTAATATTTTCTAGGATGAAACTAGAGCAGAAGTTCCCCCTGGAGCGCCACAGGAAAGATCTGGGATTATTGTTGAGACCGACAATATGGAGCTAAATGAGCTCAGGAAAAGGTCAGGACTCAGAGCATATATTAGCAGTATTGTTTTCCTGACAGCTGTGTTGTGAGTGTGAAAGTAATGCTTTTGTATCCCTCTAAGGCATTTGTGGAGAGAAGGGAAAGAGGTGGATTTACAGTGGATTAAATAAATCATAAGTCATATCCGTGAATTGTTACCATCTGTGGTTTGTTTCTGTACCTTATTTCATTTCAGTATAAAGCTAAAGCATTTTATCATAATTAAGTCTGTCACAAAAAGGAAGATTTCTTAATAAAAAACCATCCAAAAAAGTAATTATTTAAGTACATAAAATACTGATTTCAGGTTCCATTTTGTCCCAGGCTTGCAGAGACTGAGCAGCAATATGAGTCAGTGCAACAGGCTCTCTCCCAGCTGACAGAAACACTGGCAGAGGAGAAGAGGAGGAGAGAAGCTGCAGAAGAGGCTCTTGGACTCTCTGAAGAGACAAGGAACAGGTAAAACACCTGTCAGATTGTTTGTTTGCCTTTTGTTTTTGGTGAGAGGTTAGTGATTAGGTTTTCCTGTGGGTGTTAGATTTGTGAGCAGCTAATAGAACAAACAGATAATAGAATCTGCTTTTGAGTCCAGAGTGCCTGAGGCAATGGAAATCTATGTGTAATTGTGTACAAAAGCTAAGTTTCACTCTGGATCAAGAAAGTGCTACAAGCTTTGGATTTTTTTTTCTTTATTTAATTTCATCTGTTGGGCTCAGTGGTCAAGTGGTATTTCTTTTTTTCCAAGTTAGGAAAAAAAAAATTCCCATAGACAGCTTTAGCAGAACCACTGGTTACATTTAAAATATCATTATCCATCTGCCTACATAATGTGTCCCTCACAACCATCATCTGAAAATCATTATTCAGTCAGGTAGTAATTGTGGTGTTTATTCTGAATAAGGGGAACATCTTAAGCGTAGATTGTAAATAGAGACTGAAAAAGACCTGGCAACATAAAGTGAGTGTGGCTGTTCTGTGCAGAGACCTTCCCTTAGTGATGTAAGAATGCAAAGTGTGTTTGTGTGAGTTCAGTATTTAAGAGGAGATACTCAGTACTCTGTGTCTCCCTGTCATTTTTCCCTAGGTTTGAAGTGAGCAGTTACAGGTCTGTACCCACTGAATACACTGTCCAGATGGAAACTGAGGAGGAGAGGGAAGCCTTAATCATCAATCCCAGTGAACATGTTGTTGTGAGAAAGGTAAGGAGATGAAAGCTTTTAAAAGCCCTGAACTACCAGCTACTTAAAAAGGGTGTGCATGTTGTATCCTGCTGGTTGCAGACTAGATCTAAATGACACAGCTCATGATCCCTTCATGCTACTGCTTCCTTTTTTCTGTCTTCCTGTTCCTATACCCTGTTTTCAACTGTCATTCGTTGTTGGAGTGCAGATTTCCCTCCTGAGTGACTGGAAATCACTGATTTTGGGTTGTCCTCTTCATGAGTAAGCAGTGGCACAAGGCAACTACTTGTCTAGTGCTCTGAAAAGCTGACTCTGAAGTATTCTGTGTGTTTGGTATCAAGGGGCTGGGCAGGCCATTCAAAGCAGCAAACTACTTCTGAGACTCCATTTCTCTGAAAAAACATCTTTAATTTCTTTCTCTTTGGGCTGTGAGTCAAATACAAGCAGCTGTGTAAAGTGTGTCACAAGACATACTGCCTGTGTCAAAATTAAACTGGGAGTAATCATGTATGTACTGCACGTGTCCATTAAATGAAATGTGCATTGCATTGAATTCTATGCATCCACAAAATGCAGTATGCATCTCTAGTATGTCTGTGTAACTGCATAATACACAAATACCTGGTATTCGTTCCTCTTCTGTTTTAATAAGGCTGGTTTTTTGCCCTCTAAATAGTTTATGTTTTTATAACCTATGCTGTGGCATCAGTTGCTGTGTCAGAGGTTTAGAGTGCCTCAGAAATCCAAGCTGCAGTGGAGCTTCTTGTTCCTGTTCCTGGTTACTGATAGGGAATTTGTTGTTTCCCCCAGATGAAAGGAGGAGCCCTTTCCCTGCGGAGGTGGCTCCGAGGGCGAAGCCTTTACTGCTCCAAGCTGCTGACTTCCCGAGCGAAATCCCGCTACTTCTTCCTCACCTACCTGCTCACTCTGCACCTGGTTGTGTTCCTGTGCCTCACTGGTGTCCTCTGAACCCTGCATTTCCTGGGTGGATCGTTTTGGTGTGCCAATTTAGGATCATGGACTCCTCACATGCTGCTGTTTCTCTATGCACTGGACACAGCTGTAAATATTCCTGTGACACTACGTGAACCTCGAGCTTCTCCTGTGAAATTTGTCTTTATCACACTTTGCTCCCAAGTTGACTTGAATGGCTCTTTCACAGTGGAATATTATATTTGCTAAGGAGAGAATATTCCCCTCTGCCCTCTAAAGAAACTGCTGCATACAAATTATTTAATATTGTTTGTGAGTACATAATGATTGGGTACTACTGAATGGGTTGTAAATGATATCTTTTCTATACAAATTTTATTTTAAGAGTCAAACTACAGATTTCAAAGGAATATCAAGCTATTACTGTATACTGACTTCTTGATTATCACAAGAAGTTTTATAGAGTGCAATAAAGGAAGAACTACTTTAATTTTTGATTTTCTTTGGTTGCTTGGGGTTTTTTTTTGGCTGAAAATAAAAGAATTAAGAAGGTTGTTCTTTGCCATTCGGTTTGTGCCCTGTTCTGTGTGTGGTAATGAGGTAAGCTGATGATTAAAGATCCAGTAAAGATTCAGAATTGAGATGACATAAAGAGATGTCTTCAACTTCTTACATTCTCTTTTTTGTATTTTTTTCCCTGTAACTTGTGGGGAGTTTGGTAATTTTTTAATTTAGTTGCACTTCTTTTCTTGGTGGGGTTTAGTCACTGCCTGTCTCTATGCAAAATGTTCCTCAGCTGCAGAACACATTAAATTCAAGCTTATAAAGGCACAACATGACATGTTTTGCATGTTTGAGCTTCAAGGTACAAATCAGTAAAGGGTAAAAGTTTTCAACTGAGAATCTTGTGGGAAAAGAAAAAACACTGTGGGTTAATCCTGTAAATCTTCTTCTTTTAATGGTCTTTAATATTTCTTAGTGTAGTAAAGGTCTCATTTTTTTATATGAATCCACTGTATTCCAATGGAATTGGTTTTTTTGGGGGGGTTTTTTGTTTGTTTGTTTGTGGGGTTTTTTGGTGTTTGTTTTTTGTTTTTGTGTAATTGTGATGACTCACCTCCTTTGAGTGGCTGGTTCAGTCTGTTTTCAGCCCTCATGTCAGGTACTGGGGTAACACAAGGACTGTACATGCTGATTTTTCCCTGTGCAGACTGCAGATGGGTGTTAGCAGAAGGATAATGAGCTGTTCTTAGGTGACTGTGTTAAAATGGAGCAGAATGCTTGTCAATGGCAGCACTGGACCTGCAGTCCTGCCGGTTTACCTTGGGTGAGGGATTTTTGTCCTGAGGGGCAAACCCAACGCTCTGTCCTGAGGCAGAGCAAGTTGGTGAGTGGGAAGGGATCCAGAGGGGTTCGGAATTCTGTCCTCATTTATCCAGACCTTTTTGCTGTCACTGACAAGCACAAACTGGAAAAATAAATTCCCACAAGTGGCTTGACATGTGTTAGATATTCTGTGCACTCCGCTCTAGAGGCTGATATAAATACATTGGGAAGTGAGATTGTGTCATTTACGAAGCAGCTTTTACGAATCACCACCATTTCCTGGGTGAGTATTGCCCTGAGAGTGTTTTCATGTTACATTCCATGATTTAAATGCTTTGCTTTGCTTGGTCAGAGATCTTTGAGGGATTTACCTGCTGGTTCCTGGACTTCGGTGCCTTTTACCTGAGGCTTTGCAGGCTTTCCAGAGGGTCTGCAGGTGCAGGGTAATCCAGACCTTAGTGAAACAAAGTGAGGAAGAGCAATAGTGTTTTCTGTCTGAACATCAGGAACCAAAAAGGAGGCTCTCTGTTAATTGTCTTTAATTTTACACTTGGGAATTATACAAGTAAAAACAAACTAAAAATTAAAATCAAGCAAATATAGGAACTGCTTTAAAATTCTCTACTCTTAAATTCCAGTGTTTCGTGATGTAATTTTTGATGTATTTAAGGATTGAGTTTCCCTCTGGTTTACATTGCTGGAATCAATCAGAGTCTGCAGGCAGTTCTGTAATGTTGGATACTGCTGGTAAATAGTTGGTTTATTGCACTCTCAAGCCATTTCCTGAGGGTTTTAGAAGAAAATAACAATTCACAGCAACATTCATTCATGTTTAAATATACCAGGTACCAGAACTAATGGTTAAACATTCCTATATTAAAGCTGTTTGCAAATGCATGTGATAAAACCCCATTTTTGCATTGATAGGGACAAGAAAATTGCTGGACAAGTGCTGTTTTTCATTCCTTTCCCATTTCTGAAGTACCCTTCCTTACTGAGTGAAGTTGCCAAAGAAGGAAAAATAAAGTCCTTCCCTCTTCTCAAACGCCTAAAGAGGCAGTTGTCCAATTCTAAAAACAACCAGTGCATCCAAAATACATCTTGGTGAACACCAGGCCCTCTCTTGGTGGGAATTCTGCCATGAATTTCAGGGAGATCAGCACTTTGATGTGATGGCCAACTCCTGAAGCTGAGATGTTCCTGGGTGGTTGTGCCAGCTGCCTCTTATTGTTTTTCCCAGAATAACCAGTTCCATGAGGTATTTACCACTTACAAACATGAAACATGGCCTGGAGTGAGCACTCCACCTTACAGAGTGGCTCTAACTGAAAACACACAGCAAATGCTTCCCTGAAACTTTTGCTGGGGGTTATTTTTAGTTGTTCATTTGAGATTGATGGTGACCCTCTTAGAAAAAGGCAAATTTCAACAACCCATGAGGGAACAACTGCGGTCTTTGAAGTAATGAATGTTTGGTGATTCTTATTTACCATGAACTACTAACACTAGAGCTGGTATGTGCATATGATTAATTAATTTTAAACAAATGAACTTTCTAGAAGCTAATTCAGCCTTGGAAGAGATGGGGTTTATGCTGAAGTCCAAGTAGAGCTGACTGTGTGTCCTTTAGCAGAGCTTGTCCCTGGTCATGAGGCCAATGAACAGAATATCACAGGACCCTGGAGGCTGCAGCAGGAGATTTCCCTTTGAAAACAAAGGCCTGATCAGTTGGCTTTGGTCAAACCCATTCAAGTGGAAATTTGTGGGGATGCTTCACGTGCTTTGTTACATCAGAGCTTTAGCACTGACTTTGCTGTTTAGGTTTATTCTTTCCCAAAATTACTCTTCCCACAGCAGTTTGCTCTCTAAATGATGGGGAGTTCCTCCTGTCCTCTTCCATCCCATCTGAGGAGTGTGTCCCAATGCAATTCCAAAGAGGGTCTCCAGCACATCTCATTATAAAGTCAGGTAAGACTGGAAAGGATAAATGTGGCTTTTCTCAAACTTGGAAAGGGTCTTTCTGATTAATTAGATTCCTAAAAGTTCATTTGCAAATAGAAGATGCAGATTTTTGTTTGTTTTGTTCATATCTGAGCCAGATTCTGATTTTCTGGACTGTCAAAGCCCTTTCCTGAAGTTCTTGTCATGAGGTATCTCTTATGTTGTTGTATTATTTGAGGCAATTGGGATGCACTTCCTAATGCAAAAGTGATAAACTTAGTAAAACTATTATTTAATAAGTGAGGGTTGTTTTTTTTTAAAGAAAATCTGTCTCTTTGATGTAAGTTAATCCTTTTTTCCCCAAAAAATTAACATTTAAAAAAAAAAAATTTTACTTCCAGCAAGGGGAAATCTCACTGTTTCAAGGCAGTAGGGGAACTGCTTGAACAGAGAGAGCAACCAAATAAATAAATCTAGAGAGATGATACCTTTTCCACCTCTAATTCCTTCCCTTTATTCCTTTGTGCAGTGACAAAGGACCCACCCCTGATGGAGGATCATGAGTTTGATGATGCCCACCTTGGCTGGACTCCTGTGTGGGCAGCACCAAGGATGAGATACTTCCTTCGTTTCTGAAACTGCCTTGCTCTTCCTGCTGGATTCACAGAAGGAATTAGTCCAGAGCAGGTGGCTTCCCATAAATTCACATTTTAGTTCCTTACATGTTGTGGGGGCACATTCTGTGAGGGCAGTAACAGGTAGAGTATTTCACGTGAAGTTTTAACTTAAAAATGTGATTCTATCTCTGACGTGCCTGGTATATTGCACTTATACTGGAATAATATCCTTTGCAGGATGCTGTGGTTGGAATGGATCACAAAGACAGCAATGTAGAGGCTGAAGAACCAAGTGAAAGAGGGATCCTGAGGCTGAAATATCCCACTGAGCATGGAGTTATCACCACTGGAATGACATGGACAAGGTGGGTGTTTATTTTTAATGTAATTTTGTTGAACTCTTTGGGAAGTGCAGGAGAAACTGGAGAGTCGTGGGGAGTCCAAAGGACACTCTCACTCCAGTAAATATCTCAGATATTCCATGTGTCCTGGTCTCTGGGGGAAGTGTCCGAGTCTGTATGTGGAAATATTGTATGTCCTCTTTAGAGACAGGATTGCAGTTTAGTCTCTTGTCTCCAGGTGGAATGGTCTGGGGAGAAAATTCCCCAGGGAAATTCTGGTAGTGTTTTCCTGTGGAAAACACCACTGAAAGGCTGGCAAGGGGCTGGGCTTGTTCTGTGCTCACACTCTGCAGGATGAGGTGTATGCAGTTATAATCATTACACCTGAACTCAGTTCCTGTGCTGCGTTCATGAACCCAACCTGGTGAGTGCAGAGTGTTCAGATAACAGACCAGAGTCGATGCAGGAGCAATGGGAGTTGCTCGGTTCCTATCTGGAGATAAACTGCGCTCCTGCTCCACTAGGTGGAAGCACAGGATCTGCATTTCAGTTCTGCACTGCTTGCTGTGAGTTCACCTTTCTGTCTGCCTCGTACATCCCATTATGTTTTTCTCTCTGAGAATTTTCCTGCTGTCACTGTTTTTTGTTCCCTCATCTGCACCTGGAAATTGTCCTGTGCACAACACATACTGGGTAATGCTGGATGCAGGAGCAGACTATCTGAAATATAATTAGAAAAAGGAATTGGAGAAGGTTAAAAAGGTGGCATGTGCTTTCCTACAGTGTGAACTCATGGATGGACAGATTGGTTTTAGGGTGTAATGTGAAGGAGGTTTCAGGCAGTGCTGTAATTCAAATAATGGTATGTACTATATGGGCTCTTGTAGCTTTAGCTTTTCTTCTTTGTCAGTTTAATTACTTGTGGAAGTGGGTCCCTAAACTTCCCTTCTTCTGGTAGGGAAGAGACAAGAAACAGAGCTGATCACTGTTGTGATTATTGCAAATGAGGAAAAAAGTGTATTTTTGGTTACATGCAGGCTTTGGTGATTCAGTCATGTGTCTCAGGTCCCCCTGCAGTTCTGTCACAAACACACAGACTCCTGTGGCTGAGAGAAGCTCTGAAATAAAATTCCTAAAGTTTTGATGCAAAGGGATTATCTTTTGTATATGCATGTACATATATATATATATGTATTTCCCCCAACATTTTCTAAGCCAGTTGCGTGATTTTGATCCAAACCACAGATTTCTTTCTAAGGCTTGGAAATCATCCTGCTAAAAGCATCTTGATGCAGAAGAGACAAGGGAATTACTGGGTAATGTGCCAAAAATGGGACAAAGGCACAATAGTGCTGTGTCCAACCATCCACAGGGAACAGAAGGAGGGGGGTCCCCAAAGGAGGAGGCTGAGTGTGAGGGGAGAGTGGGAGCGGGGATGCTGCAGGATGTGGGAGTGCAGGGGGGAGCACATTCCTTTTCTCCCGTGCTTCAATTCACAATATTCAAATTGAGCCTGCTCTGTTTTCCAGTGGATAATAACACAGGGCATTGTCCATCCCTGTCAATTTGTTCCCAGGAACTGACCTGACAACATGTGGGAGGGATGGAGCATTTTCTGGCTCTGGTGACAACATAAGTGTTTACTATAAGTGTTGGGGTAATTTGGGATAGTTCTTCCTCAGTAATTTCTCTTTACTGCTCACGTTTCAGTCTCATGGCCTGTAAAATCAAGCCTGAACTATTTTGGTTCTTGGGGAAAATCATTGTCACTCAACATTATGGTTACCATTAGGCCAAGTCTAATGGGCTGTGCAAGTGCCTGGATTTGAGGGAAAACCTGGAAACTGCCCAAGATTTAGGCAGGGTCCTGCTTTTTGTGAGTCCAGGTTTGCTCCTCACTGCTGAAATCACCAGCAGTTTGTGAAGTATGGAAGCACCTTCTCTTATTTATTCCCTGTCTGAAATGGCATTTCTTTCTTATATCTAATTGATATATATATATATATACACTTTTACATAATTACTTTCTGATTTATTCAACTTCTCCCTGCATTTCTATTCTAAACCTTCAAATGGAAGATGGCCTGGCATCCCAAGCCCCAGTTCTGGAAACACCTGATTATTAATTTTTTTTTTAGTGGGGGGGTATATGGAATTGAAATTTCTGTTTAGGGCTGATTTTTTGTTTTTTTTTTCCAAATGTGTAATTCCAGCTCTGGACAGCTGTTGACATTGTAGGTGCTTCACAAAAGAGATCTTTTTTCCATTTAAGTTCATTCTGGAGCATAATGTTACTTGTTTCTGGGATATCCTTCAAATAAACTTACCCATAAAACTATCCTGATGTTTTGTGCTCAGAAATAAGCTCATTGGGTCAGGCAAAACTGAGGTAAAAAAAGAATAAACCCCCAGCACAGTGGTTTCAGTTCTAAAGTAGAGGTGAATTTGGCAAAGAGTTGCTGCTGCTCTTGCATTATCAAGGTCCTAAAACATTTTTGACTTGCAGATATGTCACTGCCACGCACAGGTGTCTTCTGAAAAGTTTGGAGTGATTGTTTTGTTTTGTTTTGTGTTCACAAGGCTGTGTTCAGTTCTGGATGTAGGAAAGCTGAGGCCAAGAGGCTTCTGATGCTTTTTGGTGTGTAGATAACGATAACACAGGATTGATGGGATTGTTTTGGTTGGAGTTGGTGAGTCATTGATTTATTTAGAAGTGCTGGTTGTGAAGGAGCTGAATCTTCAGCGTGGGTTTTGGATCAGTGGCACATTTCAGGTGCCCTCCTCTGGCTACCAAGAGTGTTCAACTTGGAACCCAACTCCTCAGCTCCCCCTTTCTACCCTCAACACTGTCCCTTCATCAGCACTTCTGCAGCAGCCTAAATGCTACATATCACATCAGAACTATGGGGTTTGAAGGGTTAGAATAAAGCACATGATTTTGGGGAACTTCCAAGTGGAGCACCTCTTCAGGGATCAGGGGAAAAGTGTTCCAAAACTGGAATGTTTGTGTTGTCTTGGGAAAATGAGTTGTCTGGAGCATTGAATGATGCTTTGCTAAGTGTTCCTGCCTGTGACATACCTAGTCTGAGTTAGCCAGCTTTAATCAGAACAAAAAGCAGACCTCTGAAGTTTTATATATTTTGGAGCAGCTTTATGGCCAACAGTCCACTTTACAAGTTTAGCCAATGATAGAGGAGTAAATGTGATTTAAATACAGATATAGGTATAGGATCACCTGGGAAAATGGGATGTGACTCTGCACTTCCCTTTGTTCCAACTTTTGGCATATATTTAATAGGAAGATTATGCATCACTTCAGGAACAGTGTAAATAAATTAATTAAGTAGTGAGTTTGACAGAATGAATTACTGGGAGAGAATCCAACTGGGAGATAACAAACTGCATCAGACCATCAGAACAGTGCACTTTTCACCAGCCAGGAGGTGTGGCTCATACAGTAGTCGTGTCCAGGACTGCTCCTCTGTCATTATACTGGAATGATAAATCTTGCTGTCAAGATTGTTTAAAGGCTTCTTGTTTATTACTGAGTGCATTAAACTCATCACCATAATATTGTTAATTCGTGGAGCCTTTACTTGAAAGCACAGTTTCCATTAAATGTTGACTCTACTGGCAAAAGTATTAGCTTCTAAAACCCAAAATTTGAGTTAAGCCCCTCTCATCAGAAGCTCTGATGGTGATGGTTGAGTCCCCATCCCTGTAGGGATTTCAAAGCCATTTAGATGTGGCACTTGAGGACATGGTTTAGTGGTGGCCTTGGCAGTGTTGGGTTTACATTTGGACTCAATGATCTCAGAGGAATGGCTGATTATTCCTTGAGATGGGAGTAGACAGATTATTCCTCATGGCTTCTTCCAGCTGTGTCTTCTGTGCATTTTTTTATGTGTGTGTGTAGATATATAGAGATAAAACCCTATAGATTTCATTGTGCAGTCCTGCCATCAGTGTGAGAAAATTATCCCAGGAGTGTCATCTTCAATTAATGTTGTCAGTAAAAACCTGACCTGGGTTAATGGAAAGATATCCTCTGGCTTTGGTGATTTTCTTTTTAAATGAAATCCCAGAGAAAACATAATGTGCTGTTCATGGAAGGGCTGTAATTCAGGAGGGGACTCAGGTGTGGTAACTGTCAGTATTCATTTTAGAAGAAATAAAACTTAGCATCTCTTCAGATCCTGTTAAGTGTAGATCTGAAAGCTTTTTCTGCTCTTCCAGGTTCTGTTTGAAACATCCAGTGTGCCAGCTGTGTGTGGAACAGTGCAGGCAGTGCTGCCTCTGCCCTGGGAACACCGACTGGGGAGTCTTCCTAGGGGTTGGATTTTCCACCTGTCCTTCTCTTGAAGCCTTGAGTCTTCATATGTTTTGAAAAGTTAAAATGCCACCTGCCTTTGTAGCCTGATGCCATGATATAATTTTGTATACAAAGATGGGCAGCTTACAGGAATTATGATTGTCATAAACACTTTAAAATTCAATTATTTTGTATCAGAAATGCCTTATTAATTTTGAGTGGAAAACATGCTTCATTTCCTACCCAAGAATAACAGGGCTTTACACAGGTATTGTTATATTTTCCTAGTGGTGGGTTTTACTTTAATGACAGATTCACATTTTTATTTAAAAATAGAGTGTGGGTTTTTTTTTTTTTTTTTTACAATTTGGACATGACTTCCTGTCTGTAAAGTGCTGGAGTTTGTCTTAAAAATGGGCTTGGGAAAATCTGTGTCCTGGCTGTCACACTGTGTGTTGATTAAAAACTTCTTGGCTGCAGCAGGACAGGAGATGGTGAGAGACATCAAGGGAGAGCTTTGCTGTGTGGCATTAGATATTGGAAATAAAACAGCAATTGCTGCTTCCTCCTCCTGTCTCGAAAAGCGCCAGGAACTTCCTGATGGACAAGTTCTCACTATCAGGAAAGAAAGTTTCAGAAGCTCCCATCCAGGCATCCTCTGTAGGTGGGACAGGAGTTTTCTTTCTTGGGCTTTGGCAGACAATGGAAAGGGCAACTTTAGCAACCTTCAACTGTAGGAAAAGAGTTATTTATTCCCAAATGTAGTCACTTCTTTAGAAGCTGTGGATGCTGCTGCTGGACAAAAAGATGCTTCAGCTGAGAAATACCTGAATCCCAAGATAGCTCCAATCTCTTATAAATGGAGTAGAGTGTGTAAAATGACAAGATCATGCTTTTTATCTTGAATGGCTGATACAGAACTGCACATGCTTCTTAGGTGGGTTTTGTACCTAGCTTATGCTTCAGCTTATCATTTTAGTCTAATTATCTGTGATTTAATAATTCATCAGCAGATCATCCATTGTTTTCCACCAGTTTTATCTGCAGTGTTACAGTTCCCATTCTACCCAGTGGATGATCGACACTCCCTGTGAGTAACTCCTGTTGCCATTCACCAATTTCCCGCTTAAATTCCCCTCTGGAGGCCTGAGCACAGTGGCTGCAGGTGCTTTGGCATCATTTCCACGGAGATAAATGGTGAAGCCAGCCGTGCTGGTGTGCAGAAATGAAACTATTTCAGCATGATTGTGTCTCCAAGTTGTGTTTTTGAGCCTCAGCAGGAGACGTTCTCTTCAGCAGGCAGAGGGATTTGGCTGCCAGAAGTGTGTCAGGGATCAGGGCTGGTGCTCAGTGACGGTCACTGTCAGGAATGGAGTGCTGGAAATCAGGATTTTGTGCATCACAGATCTCTGTCAAAATGTGTGTGTTAGACTAGTTTAAAAGTCTAGTGCTTAAAGCTCAAACTATACACCCAGGGTTCTGTCTGCTCAGCTCCTTTTCTTTGGCAAAAATAGTGCAATATGGGAACTTCCCAGGACTGGCATTCAGATTAAACCTCACTGAAATGCCAAGTGTGCTTCTATTTCTAGCTGATAGCACCTTTACTTCCCTGGTGTAGCAGCTCCCCATAAACATCTTCCCAACTCCAATCCTCTTAAATACTTTTATAAAACTTTCTAAGGCCTTGATGCTTCTGAACCTAACCAGACTCAGAGGCTCAGGTGGTCTTTATCAGATGTTGCCCTGCCTTTGGCCACCCCAGTATTATCTCTTTTCTTACATTAAAAAGGTTTTATGAACAGGAACCAGTTTATAGATTTTGAGTGGGGTTTTTTTGTGCAGCACCTTTTACAGTCAGGTTGTGCCAGGTGTTATATACTAGATATATGTGGTGTCCTTCTCTAGTGCGGGAGGTTTATTTCAGAGTCCTGCTCCTTTCAAGAAGCTGTCTCATATGTAATTTAAATTTCCCAAGCTTTTCTGAACTTCTCAGTTGCTTCTTTTTCATCTGGTAATAAGCTTCCATTAAAATTCTCAAAATTGCTTTCCTGGGAATGTGTTAAATAAGGTGTCACTTCAAAGCAACCCTTTCTCCTGTATTAATTTTAACAAAGGAAAATTGTCACCATCATGGAATTTACTAAACCCATGGAATATTTGACATCTAGCTTTTAAATGGGAATGCTGTCTTGTAAGTGATTTCTGAGACTTTAGTCTCCTGCAATTCAATTCTGCAATGTTTTCCTGTTAAATGATATGATGTCTGTGTGAGACTCTTGTCATCAGTTATGTCACAGTTCTTGATGTTCACTTTTAAAATAAAAGCATCATTTCAAAGATTTCTTTTGGGGGCTTTTCCCTTTGTTTTTGCTTCAAAGTTAAATGTTATATCTATGGTGAAATAGTATTTTCTTGGAGTTAGTGAGCTCTGTATTAGGGCTTTGCTGACATTCTAAGAAAAATCTAAAGACAAGAAAATCTGTTTTAAAAAAGCAGGGGCATTTTGGAGCCAGGAGATGGAAATGGAAAATCCCAAAACTAATCATTAACCTTTGATTAAAGTGTTTGTTGATCATTTTAATTGGGGATTATGGGCTTCAAAAAAGAAATGACATCTGCTTTACCTCATGTATACAGAATAGGGAGGGAAGAGAAAAAAATACGGAGTGATGAAAGCAAATCACCTTTGTGGAAAGCTTATGGAGATCACTGGGGACACCATACTTGGGATGAACTTGACCCCTTTTTCTACCTGGCAAACTTTTAATGAAAGAGGAAAAGGGCCTGGTGATCTTTTACTGCAGAGGTTAATAACACATGGTACTGAGGAGCGTTTTCTGTCAGAAGTGAAGGCTGCAGATCTCGTTACCCGATTGTGCATTCACATCTCACAAGAGGAGTGGAAAAGACACTTGACACATTTAAAAGGTTATTGTGGACAATGTTTACATTTCTGATTCTATTCCCAGTGCATTTTCTTCTTATTAGAAGTATAAAAGAGCACAGAGGGTCATCCAGGCTGTCTTCCATCCCACTGCTGGCTGAGACACGTCTGACTCCAGCGAATGTCACAAGGTGAGGGCAAAATTTGGGGCCCAATTCATTAACTAGCCACTGCTGTAACTCAATCTGTTTTGCTTGCATCAGTTTTAGGTAAAAGTCTTGATTTTTGTTGTAAATCCTCATCTAGAAACTGTGGGGAGATGTGCTGAGTTGTGTTTAAAGTGTGACAGCAGGGCCGAGTCTTCATTGCATCAAGGTTGGGCCAAAGCATCAAGAGTGAAAACCATCCAAAGTACACATCATCTGTGCTGTTTTTACAGGGCACTGCAGAAAACAGCAGTCTTGAGAGAAGGAAGCCAAGAACAGGAATGTAGTGACAGCAAGCAATGAGAGCTACGAGGTCTGATGTGAATTAAATGTGCGAAGGCGGAAGCTGAGCCCAACAACAACCTGATCTGGAGGAGAACGAGATTAAGGGCTTGAAACATCTCCTGTTTAAGGTTTGCCTCAGGCAAGAGCGCCTTTGTAGGTGTAATATGTTGTTGAATTTTAATATGGAAATGTCTCCTGGCATGTATTTCAACCCCCTAGAAATAGTGATATTGATTTAACCTTCAATTAATGGGAGAGGTCCTCTGTGAAAATCGGGGCTGGGTTTGAATGGCAAATAGCTTTAATATTCTGAGCAGAGTGGATCATTTACACAGCTCAGTAAGAGACTATAAATCACCAGGACTTTGGCTTTTTTTTTTTATTATCATTTTAATGCAGGCTTGAGTTCCCTGGAGCAAGGGACCAGGAGTGTGGTGGGTCATTAAAAAAATCACGGAGGTGATGTCAGTGGGTAGAGACAACAAATAATATAGTTGTGCAAAAGGAAGGTATTTGAAATCCATTCCTGTTCTCTGTTGCCATGTTTTTCAGGAATCTGCTCTCTTTTGGCCAGTGGGATGAGATGAACACTCCCCCCCTTTAGCCTTGACACAATCCAGGAGTATCTTTCCACATTCAGTTTGCACAGAACATCCATTCTGAAGGCCATTTTTTATAGCAGTCTTTTTTCATCCAGGCTGTTGGCAAATAACCTTTCTTAGGCATGAATTAATACAGAGTTTAACCGAAGTTGATGCTGATATTGAGCAGTGTTCTGTAGAGCTGGTCATGATCCAGGTGTGCATTTTGCAGGTTTACTCTCTTTATTGATTTCCTATCTGGCCCAGAGAAAATTAGCTTCTTACAGGGCTTCAAAGCCTCTAATTAAACCAGAGGAGAATTTCATCCAGTCCTGGCCTCCAGTGGTCTGTGAAATACCCAAGCTGAGAGATCACCTTGCCCAAATGGCCCCCCTGATTTAACAATACCATTCACAGAGCTGACACCTTCAGAACTGACCTTCCCTGGCAGTTTGACCTTGAAAGCGTCACTTTTGTTTAGTTCAACAGAGTAAAGAAAAGGTGAAGAATGGTTCCAGTCTGCCTAAACTTGCCTGGTTTGTGCCACTCAAGTCCCAGATGACAATCCTATCTGCCCACTTTCTACTGTTCTAGTCTTAGCTCTGTTTCTGGATCTACCTATTTCCCTGCTCAGAGGTGCAGAAGGATGAACTGGGTAGAGCTTTGTCATACTTTTTAGGTAAAAAAGCATTAATTAAGTGCTGTGGTCTGGGTTTGGATTTATTTTACTTTTGGTAAGGTTTTTCTTGTGCAACAAAATATCAAAAATCTCTTCTGATCTCTCATATAGACTTATTTTCCAAAGGGGATGTATGGTGGTTGTCTGGAGAAGATACCACTGCTCTGAGCCTTTTCCTGTGGCCATGGCAGTTGCTGAAGGTTTTGCTGCTGTCCTTGGTGAGGGACAGAAGATGGGATTCTCTAAATGTGTGCAATTCCCTGACCAGGCAACTGCCTGGGGGTGGCCAGGAAGGTTTTCTTCTGGAAGCTCTTCCACTCTGGGAGTCTTGTGAAGAGCATTTTGCATTGCAGGTTGCTCACTAAATCAGCTCCTTGGCTCTCTCACAGAGCTGCTGAATGAGCGTGATGTGACCCAGAGATGCGAAGGGATTTCTTTCATTAGCAGGGCTGGAATGCTCAGGAGAACACAAGATGTGTTTCCCAGACAACAGCTGATGTCATTGGAGACTGGGAGAAAGTACAAAGGCTGAAAAGGGAGTTTGTGAAGAGTAGGGATCAATTTAGGGGAAAAAAAATAGCAAAATTATAGATTTTTACAAAATATAAACCACAACATACAGACCTGCTTACAAAGTCTGTGAAACAGCTGTGAGGGTCTCAGGAATTCAAATCCCTCACAAATGAGCAGCAAAGAAATGCAGTTTAAAACACCTCCTGAAGTCTGTACATGCTGCAACCTTAAAGCCACAATCCTTATCCGACTTTTTTTCTCCAAAATAAAATGATAATCCTGCTGGAATAAACACAGATGGCAATTTGCACACGATTTCGTTTCAGCTGAAGTTTTACTTCAAATTCTGAGCAGGATAAATAAACCATCTTTGGGTGCTCATGGTAGGAAGGTTGCTGCAGATTTTTGGTTAATATTTAAGTGGCATTGCTGACAGAGGAATACTGTGCATCAGCCTGACAAAGCAGCCTGTGGTTCACTTTTGAAAAATAGCTTAGGAACTTGCATGCATCATTCATCTGCTTCAGTATCTGGAGAAGGACGACTTAAATGTCCTCCATCTGACCATTTTTAAACCATTTAAAAGATTATTTTTCTGTGCTTAAAACTATAACCACTTGGGCTAACAGTCATAATTATTTTAGTATCCTAAAGATTTGTGTTTTTTAGGTTGCAGTTTCACAGATGTCCAAGTTGATCTGCTGGCTTGTTGCCATCAGCAAGGCAGGGGCTTTTTCTCCCCTCTCATCAGTTTTCTTCCCTTTCCTTTTGCCTGGTCTGTGGTCTCTTTTGTTTGTGTTGACTAATTAGCTTCCAGCTGGGTTAGTGAGTTGAATTGTTTTTGGATAGTCCTATAGGCTGATTCCAAGGGAAGGCAGACGAAGGGGAGTTGGCTGCCCCTTCCACTGGCAGGGTTTTATTGCACTGCCCTCCTGTTTCAGGAATCTTCAGCATCAGGGGAGAGAATGTGGTGTTCTCTCTCAAGAACAGGAGTTCTTGTCCATGTCCCAAATCCAGCAATACCTCTTTCTGTAGTCTTGGGCCGG